TTTGCGCTTTTTTATTCGCCAACCCTATAACTAAGGGGCGCTAAAATATGAAATCGCACGCGGGCGTTTTCAGGTCTGGCGGGGGGCATATTCATTTTCTGCCAACGTAATAGGACCTTCGGCTGCATTCGTGTTCGTTCGAGCACAGCGTAGGCAAATTATGATTGAAGTAGACTAACGTTGGCAGTTTATAGAGCCTGCCTGGCGTTCGTGAACTCGTGAAAATAATCTCTAAATAAATTCAGTTGGAAATTGACAGTTATTTTTAGTTGTTGGCACATGTTTCAATGCGAAATGCAATAACGAATGAAGAAATACCTTTTTTAAGAGTTTAAAAATTAATCATTGTGTCTACTGAAATGTCCCAGAACTTTTTTAGTAGATTTGAGCTAGTTTCGGTTAGTTTGCGGTAGTATGGGTTATTTTTGGTTAGTTTGGGTTGGTTCGGGTTAGTTTTGGTTTAAAAACCGCACTAGGCGATGGTCTTCCTGTTTCCTTTTTTCAAGCAGAGACAGTGCTTAATTCAAACCGTCAAATCCGTCCTGAAATTTTTTTTAGCTCAAACTCCATAAAATAGTTAGTATAAAAGGTCCATCGGGTAGATACAAAGAGATCGTTGGTTCTATCTAACACAATAATTAAGCCAATGTTTTCCGAAATTTTGGTGTAAATAAATTTTTTATCTTTTATCTTCCCTTCCTTCGAATAAAAAACATTTATCGGACCTAATTATGAATAAAATGCTTGTAACATACAGTCACATGAACTGCCAACGTCTTGTTGCGACGCTCATATTCTGCTAACGCATCACGGCGCAGGGCACGAATCTAGCCGAATATCAGTTGCGTTGGCAAAAAATGAATATGCTGGCGGGGGCCCTGGGCAAATGGGGTCGTTAATTTAATGGAACTCGTTCGACTATCACTTTTACAATCACCAAACACACATCGCTTCATCGCCTCTCGATAAAACATATCACGTTCTCCCAAAACTGCCATTATTATTAAATTTAAGCTCAAAATTGAAGAAAAATTAATAACATTGACAATGCTATTTATAGGTTATGTGACTTTGTTTGTCGACTTTCTGCTAAAGTCATTCATAATGAAATCTTCTATTGGTGACTGATGTTGACGGGAATAGCAGTGAAACAAGCATAAATGGGAGGAATTGAGGAATCATTCAACTATGAATAGACCTATCTATTTTTACCTGGTATTCGCGCGCAACACGAGGCAATGTCTTTTTATTGGCTAGCTAATGCAGGTGTGAGGTGATCGTTTTGCACGCTGGGCATCTCTTTTTCCTTGTTCATTGCACGTGATCTGACAAGAATAAATCTAAAGTTGATATTCAATTTGACAAGTGTCATTCAAAAGTTGTTTGACATTTTCATTGACAAATACGTTGCACAACACGCGGTTTTTCTCCTTTTCTTTTTATCCTGTGCAAATAAGAAGGACGGATTGCTATACGTAAGTCTAACATAATTTGGTACGTTTTGCCTCGTCTTGCGCAATGAGCGTTCTGTGTCTTTTTTTATTTAATGAAGTTTTCGTATTATTACCTCTTTGTCTGGTAAAATAGATAGGTCTATTGAACTATATGGGATCTAGAACAGTGGAGAAGTGTCAAACGGTACATAATACAGACGATATAATTGATAATTCCTCCATGTTAAAGAATCATGACTGGGTACCCCCATAATTCGCATTTACATTGAGATTAACTTGGCTTTTTTAAAAGTCTTTTTCTGCTCGGGTCAGGGGAACCTTTATTGAGCCTGGCATAATAGTTTCAATGGATATACACCTCCGAAAAAGCTCAATATGCAAAGACAAAATGAATAAATGAAAATAATAACATTGACAATCAAAAATTAACTGTCAAAAACACCGGTTTATTATTGAAAATCGAAAAAATCTAAAATCTCTCACAATGTTTTCAGATTGGTTAGTACGAATTTCTCTATAAACGAACTTACTCGACGATTCCAGGAAAAAGTCATAGAGAGTAGCATTTGTCGATAGAAAGAAATTTCTTTTCTTTGCTATTATTTTTCTATTTCTATTTCTATCGAGTTAGAGAGTTCACCTACAGGTTTGTTTTTAATAGGGGCACTGTAATATACAGGACAGGGTGCTACAAATTGGAGTGTATGCATGGGGATATCGGAAACCGTAAGAGATACGAGGTTGGTTAAATTATGGCAAAGTTGCCCAATTTTATCTATATATATAAAAATCAAAGTTCCAGGGGTATCCGGGTATGCGCTCCTACACCACTTATCTGATTACGATGAAACTTTGGTAGATTGTTATGGCCATCCTAAGGAAGGTTTGTGGATAGGTTACGCATCTCGGAAAAATAAATTAATTTTGAATTAATTATTAATTTAATTGTAAACAAACTCATTCACATTACATAACAACATAGCCCAACTTTTTTTTTTGACAGTATGAAAGGCTTGCCATTCAACCGACGTAGCTTTATTATTTTTTGAATTCGAGAACGGCTGGACCGATCTTGAATTTAATACCACGTTTCTCTATATAAGCTGAATTCGATTGACCCAGATTAGATCGATTTGGGTTCAATTTAAGTGAACTTCTTCTGATCTAGATCATTTTTTGTTGATGAGAGTGCACTGATCCAGCCTCAATGGAACACAGTGTGGTTCACTTAAATTGAACCAGATCGATCTAATCTGGTTAATCGAATTCGGCTAAAGAGGGGAGTGCTATAAGCTATTTTTTATCCCGAAAAAAAAGTTCGGTTGCGCGAAACTCTGATACACTGGAACGCCTATAAACAACCCGGGGCGCTCTAGAACAGCTCTGGAGTGCTTAAAATGCGTCACTGAACTCACTGGCAAACGACTCTGGTATCGGATAAAAAAAAAAATAAAATAGAAAATCAACAACAAAATTTGAAAAAAAAGTGTATTATTTCAAAATATATTTCACGCTGGCAACGCAGCGGGTCATTAGCTAGTGACCAATAAAATTCCGTTTTGAAATTTGAACAATTCCGAATACTTCCGAAGATATTCGAAAAAAACCGAAATTATGCAAAATCATTTTTATTTTTTCCTGAGTCTATTTGAAGAGCAATTTCAAAATAAATGTCAATTTATCATTGTCACTTTTTTCCCTTTACAAGATGTTGCTACCAAATTTCAGATTCGACGTTTCTTCTTTGGGCGGCCATCATCAACTTCATTTTTTTAAATACGGACCTTTATTTTTTACTTCAGATTTTATAATCTTCTGACGTCTTAAAACCAATAACGTATTGCACTTATTCGAAAAATTTATATTATTGGCACTTTCCATAAGAACTTAATGTGTTAGAGAGAGACAGAGAAGATAATTTTGGTAGGAAATTGCTAAAAAGTAATAAAAATAATTTTTCAAATAAATGCGATACGTCATAAGTTTTGGGACATCAGAAGCTCTAAAAATCTGAAATAAAAAATTCAGGGTCGTATTTAAAAAAAATAAAGTTGATGATGGCCGCCCAAAGACGTCGAATCTGAAATTTGGTAGCAACATCTTGTAAAGGGAACAAAGTGACAATGATGAAGTGACATTTATTTTGAAATTTCTCTTCAAATAGACACAGGAAAAAATAAAAATGATTTTGCAAGATTTCGGTTTTTTTCAAATATCTTCGGAAGTATTCGGAATTTTTCAAATTTCAAAACGGAATTTTATTGGTCATAAAATTGCGCAACTTTGCCATAATTTAACCAACCTCGTATCTCTTATGGTTTCCGATATACCGATGCATGCACTCCAATTTGTTATAGAATAATTTTTATTATAATTTTTGAATAATTTATATAGTTCCCAGGAGAATGAGTGTTCTGTCTTTCTCAATGATATAAAAATGATAATATGAGTAACAAAGACGGAACACCCGTTCTCCTGGGAACGCTGCTCCCCTGTTTCAAGAATAAAGACCCAGGAATAGTAAATAATCTGAAATTTTCTGAGGATGTAAGTAAGTAGTTGTAGGGCGACAAATCCTACAAATTATATCTCTGGTTTAATTTATAGCATTAGCAGCTCCAAGAATGTCAATGATTTGAAATTACAGCTCCAGTAGTCAAAAATAAGTTTCTGTCAATTCTACAATTAAATTTTAGCTTGTTGTTCGTTGAAAGTCAAACATGAGCTTTTTGAACCGCTCTACCTTAGCTTTACTTTTCGAAAAACGAAAATCAAAGTTTTACACTTCTCCAGTTCTTTTTTTGTAATACAAGCGCTAGGAATGGAGTTTTCATACTTTTTTATTGAAATGTCAGGAATGAAATTCTCACAATTTCCCAATTGAATTTTACTTCTCCGAGGATCAAACATGAGCTTTTTGAACCATTCTACCTCAACTTCACCTCTTGAATGCTCAGAAATCATAGTTTTACACTTTTCTAGTTCAATTTTTGTAATACAAGTGCTGGGAATGAAGTTGTCCCAATTTAAATTGCAAGCGTTGGGACTCAGTTCAAATTTTTTCTCTCTTGAAATATTTAAAAAATATCTCAATTGAATTTTAGCTCTGTTAGATTATTTTCATACATGCATTTTTTGAACCGCTAGTCCTCAATTTTACCTTGAATGATCCAAAATCATAGTTTATGTTATGAGCATCAGGAATAGAAATTGTATGCGTTTATTTTAAATCTTTGCTCTACTAGTAGATTCAGGAATAATATTTTAACAATTCCCCAGTTGATTTTTAGCTCTGTAAGGGGTCGGACATTAGCTTTTTGAACCGCTCTACCTCCTGTACCTTTTGCTTAGTCAAAAATGGAAGGTTTACACTTTAAGGGCAATAAGATAAGATTGAAACATTCAGTATTTGTCAAATAAACTTTTCCTAATTGCCATTGAGTCAGAGCCAGAGATTGTAATACTTGTTATTTTTTTTCTAATTATTCACTTACATCATATCCTAATTTCAACCCACTTCAACTATATAAAAATTTTGAATTCCAGAACTTTTCATACTTTTATACCGGATGGACGTCCATGAAGGATTGTCGATCTTACGCCCATTTGTAGACGACAAATACCACAGACTCATAAAAATAACTAATATCGAAAATGGCATCAAGCGAGTACAAATTCATGACAGCAAAGTTCCGACAAGTAATTTTAATAGAAACACCGATAAAAGTATACCAAAACCTGGACCTGTTTTTAGCAACGAGAACAACGAAACAAAAATAAATAATAATTTGCAAGCTCAGGCGACAGAGAAACCATTGAATATTCAAGTGAATGCGAATAATGATAATGTGCCAAATTTTAAGAGACAGCAAGATTCTACACAAATGTTGACAGCTTGTGTTGCCTCCAGTGCTGGATTGATACCACAAATTCCTTATGAAGAACTCGAATTGGCTACAGATAATTGGAATTCTAATAGGATTTTAGGACAAGGTGGATTTGGAACTGTGTTTAGAGGCAAGTCATAGTTCTTAGAAACTTTTTTTCTAAAATGTATTTATATTAGTTTGGAAACTGACTGATACCTTAGACAATTTGTTGTTGGATATCTATAAAATACCTAGAAACTTGAAAATCCAATTCTAAAAATGTTCAAGGGGTAAACCACCATCTCAGAGTTGGTGCAAACAATTCCTCAAAGGGGAATTTTTTACGCATAATTCCTCAAAATTCGTACAAATTCCTCCAAATTCTTCCTGATATCCCATCACAAATTCCTCCAAATACTACACCATGAACCTCTCTAAATACCCCACAAATTCCTCTAAAAAAAGGGAAAATTTTGAAACTTTTTGTATGTAAAGAGGAAGGTGAGAAGCTCATTTTCCTAAAATTTCAAATTTTTCCAGTGGAAAACAGCAACATGAAAAATCTTGGAAATCAACCTACAAAAACTGAATCAGTTGAAAATACAGTCTGACACATTTTCAAGTTTTCGTGGAAAACTAGTAAAGGGAAAATTTTGAAACTTTTTACATGTGAAGAAGAAGGTGAGAAGCTCATTTTCCCAAAATTTCAAATTTTTCCAGTGGAAAACAGCAACATGAAAAATTTTGGAAATCAACCTACAAAAACTGAATTAGTTGAAAATACAGTCTCACACATTTCAAAGATTTCCTGGAAAACTAGTGGAGGGAAAATTTTGAAACTTTTTGCATGTAAAGAGGAAGGTGAGAAGCTCATTTGTCCAAAATTTCAAATTTTTCCAGTGGAAAACAGCAACATGAAAAATTTTGGAAATCAACCTACAAAAACTGAATTAGTTGAAAATACAGTCTCACACATTTCAAAGATTTCCTGGAAAACTAGTGGAGGGAAAATTTTGAAACTTTTTGCATGTAAAGAGGAAGGTGAGAAGCTCATTTGTCCAAAATTTCAAATTTTTCCAGTGGAAAACAGCAACATGAAAAATCTTGGAAATCAACCTACAAAAACTGAATTAGTTGAAAATACACATTCTCACACATTTCAAAGTTTTCCTGGAAAACTAGACAAGAGAACATTTTGAAACTTTTTGCATGTAAAGAGGGAGGTACGTGAGAAGCTCATTTTCCCAGAATTTCAAATTTTTCCAGTAGAAAACAGCAACATGAAAAATCTTGGAAATCAACCTACAAAAACTGAATTAGTAGAAATGACAGTCTCACACATTTCAAAGTTTTCCTGGAAAACTAGAGAAGACAAAATTTTGACACTTTTTGCATGTAAAGAGGAAGTTGAGAATCTTATTTTCCCAAAATTTCAAATTTTTCCAGTAGAAAATAGCAACATGAAAAATCTTGGAAATCAACCTACAAAAACTGAATTAGTTGAAAATACAGTCTCACACATTTCAAAGTTTTCTTGGAAAACTAGTGAAGAGAGAAATTTGAAACTTTTTGCATGTAAAGAGGAAGATGAGAAGCTCATTTTTCCAAAATTTCAAATTTTTCCAGGGGAAAAAAGCAACATGGAAAATCTTGGAAATCAACTTACATAAACTGAATTAGTTGAAAATACAGTTTCACACATTTCAAAGTGTTCCTGGAAAACTAGTGAAGGAAAATTTTGAAACTTTTTGCATGTAAAGAGGAAGGTGAGAAGCTCATTTTCCCAAAATTTCAAAAAAAACAGCAACATGAAAAATCTTGGAAATTACAAAAACTGAATAAGTTGAAAATACAGTCTCACACATTTCAAAGTTTTCCTAGAAAACTAGTGAGGGGAAAATTTTGAAACTTTTTGCATGTAAAGAGGAAGGTGAGAATCTTATTTTCCCAAAATTTCAAATTTTTCCAGTAGAAAATAGCAACATGAAAAATCTTGGAAATCAACCTACAAAAACTGAATTAGTTGAAAATACAGTCTCACACATTTCAAAGTTTTCTTGGAAAACTAGTGAAGAGAGAAATTTGAAACTTTTTGCATGTAAAGAGGAAGATGAGAAGCTCATTTTTCCAAAATTTCAAATTTTTCCAGGGGAAAAAAGCAACATGGAAAATCTTGGAAATCAACTTACATAAACTGAATTAGTTGAAAATACAGTTTCACACATTTCAAAGTGTTCCTGGAAAACTAGTGAAGGAAAATTTTGAAACTTTTTGCATGTAAAGAGGAAGGTGAGAAGCTCATTTTCCCAAAATTTCAAAAAAAACAGCAACATGAAAAATCTTGGAAATTACAAAAACTGAATAAGTTGAAAATACAGTCTCACACATTTCAAAGTTTTCCTAGAAAACTAGTGAGGGGAAAATTTTGAAACTTTTTGCATGTAAAGAGGAAGGTGAGAAGCTCATTTTCCCAAAATTTCAAATTTTTCCAGTGGTGAATAACAACATGAAAAATCTTGGAAATCAGCCTACAAAAATACTGTATTCATCATTCTTTTGAATTTTTGAAATTTGACAATTTCCTTTAAATTCCTCACAAATTCTTCCAAATTCCCCATAAATTCCTCCAAATTTTCTATAAATTCTCCAAATTCTCATAAATTCGGATGAGTTCCTTCAAATTCCTCTAAATTTCCCACAAATTCCTCTAAATTCCCCACATTTCTGACAAAGAATTCCTAGGTGGTTTGCCCCTTGAAAATGTTACTTTTATACAGGATCAAAGAGAGCTCTTGTAAATTGTCACTAATTTCCAGGTACATGGAAGTGCACCCAAGTAGCCATCAAACGATTGAAAACCAAGGAGAATACCAAAAAAGAATTCGCTGAACAAATTCGTCAGTCTATTACCGAATTGCACTGTCTAAATGCCTACCGGCATGACAATATTTTACCTATTTATGGATATAGTATTAGTAAGTTTATTCTAAAGTTTAGATTTTGTAATATTGTTTGTTTCTATGTATTTGTAGGTTCAAGCTCGGGTATTACAGCTCATCCTTGTTTAGTTTACCAATATATGCCTGGGGGATCACTGGATAGCAGGATTAGAACTAGGGATGAAACTAGGGTTATGAGTTGGCCTGCCCGATTAAATATTGCTATAGGTAGGTAGAACTATTGAAAACAAATCTCGTATTTGAATGGAATTTTGAATAACTACTACACACTATTTATAAATGATATCGTGTTCCGGATTTATCTAGAAGCCTTGTTTTCTCAAATTACAATACACGCGCTTCAGACGTAAACAACCGAATTCTTAGAATCTGGCAACTTTTACTAAAAATATAATATCTTGAACATTGAAAAAACAAAGTAGAGTGTGCTATGGAAATGGTACCTAAGACCAGTTTTTTCAAAATGGATTGCCATTATTCAATTAAAATTAAAAGTGAATTATTTTGCAGGAACTGCAAGAGGCCTTCAATTTTTACACACAACTCTCCATGGAAATAAGCCATTGATTCACGGTGATATAAAAAGTGCTAATATCCTGTTAGATTTGTTAGACCAGCCAAAAATAGGTAACCTTTATTATAAATAAACAAATAAATAGATTTTTCTATTCAGGTTCTGAAATTTTCAATGTCAATAATTTTAAAATATTTGTTCTGTTTGATTCACAGGTGATTTTGGTTTGGCCCGAGAAGGTCCAGAAAACAACTTAACTCACATTCTAGTGAGCCGCGTTCAAGGCACCGCTCCATACTTACCCATTGAATTTTTACGTTCGAACCAGTTCAGTACCAAAATAGATACTTACAGCTTTGGCGTGGTACTATTCGAACTGGCCACCGCTTGTCCACCGGCCAGCGCCACCTGCAACAAGCGGTTGCTGAAGGACTATGTGGTCGACTACCCAGTGGAAAACATAATACAATTGAAAGATCCCAGAGCTGAAGGTGGAGAAAGTATTTTTTATCAACTGGTGCGAATTGGAAAGGAGTGCGTCCAGCATCGGTCTAAGAGACCAGAAATGGTTGACGTTTTGCTGATGCTTGAAAAAGTTATGTTATTATAAATGATTTTAGTTTTGTAAATCGATAATTGGGATATATATAAAAATATTTGTATGTGAAAGGTTTTTGAATTACTTTTTTCCGCCAAACAAGCATAAATGAACTTTATGGTTTTTGCTCACCAATTGCCAACTTAAAACTTGAAGAGGTAAATGGATTCGGTAATAAATAAATCATGCAAAAACTTTGACATAAATATGAATTTATAAAAATAATAAAACAGAAATATCTAGGTACCTTAATACCGAAAAATTAAAATAACTTATTACCTACTTAGGATTAAACTTATTCCGCATGAATTGTACCAGCATCGCTTTACGTAATTTCGCTTCCCGTTCGAATTCCTTAAGTTGATTCTGCCGCATATATTCATCGAGTTCCAATGATTGAAATGCTTTTCCCCATTGTTTCAAGAGCTCGGTGATTCTCGAATCCATATCTTGCAAAATGACTTTTTTTCCAGGCGACATCGGACAGTCTTCAATGAGCGTTACTTGGTCAGCTCTACTTTCGAATTCTTCATATCTAAAATTTAGGTACAAAATACTGAAAAATCTAAAATATATACACAAAGGTTAATTAGCTATGAAATCACTGGTACAATTTGAGCGCTTTTTAAAAAATTCTACCGTTTTCGAAATAATGAATTTATGCGGAACTTTATGAACTCACTGTATAATAGATCTTTATTGAACGAATACAGTTCAAAAGGCCACCGACCGACCGAGGTCCTTCAGCCAACGAGTTTACAAAAATCATGGATATAAAATTTCTTTGTTCACAATATTAAGTATTTGTTACAGAAAAAAAAAAAAGAAAAACGATACAATAGTAAAGCAAATATGTTTAGTTAGTTTTCAGATAGTTTCTCCTATATTGTTCTTATTCTCTCAGAGTGTTGGTATCTTGCTCTGTCTGGTAGTCTTCTGATGCAGTATGGTTCAATTTTGGCTATATTGTCTGGCTTCTGCTTGAACTTTTGATTAAGTTGACTAATGCGTTGCTGAATTGGTAGTACTTGTGTTGTCAGATACAGAAGTTGGTTAGGCGGGTTGTGCAGTGGATTGTTGAGATGTCTTAGTTTTGTGACAGATCGAAGAGAAGGTGTTTCTGCAACTCGTAAATTTTTTCATGCTGATGTTTTGAGGTTTTGGTAAATTACATGTCCGTATTCGATGAGTGGGCGACAGATCATTTTGTAGATTCTACATTTTGTATGCAAGTTTATTCCTTCATTCTTCCTTGATAGGCATTTGAAGTGTCTGGCTCTGGCTATAGTCTTTCTTTTGGTTTCTTGTGTATGTTTATTAAAATTAATTTTGTTGTCTAAATGTATTCCTAAATATTTAATGAATTGCTGTGGATGTAATTGGTGGTTGAATAATTGTATATAGGGTGAGTTGTAGTTGGGAGTGTGGTTGAAAAGAATAAAAGGAGATTTCATCGGGTTGGGTTTCAATCGCCACTTGCAGAACCATTGCATCGTTGAGTTGCATAGATCTTGTAGCTTGCTTGTGGTTGATCCAATAGACTTGTCATGAGCAATAAGTGCAGTGTCATCTGCATATTGTAATATGTAGTTGTCCATATTAAAATGTTGCGTATTTTGTTTTGATCATATTATATGTCTGCACAGTAAATATTGTATAGCAATGGTGAAAGAGGTGAGCCTTGTGGGAATCCTTGTTCTGGAATAAATTCATAAAATGTTTCATCTGCGATTTTAACTTTCAATTTCCTCTCCTTCAACAGACTGACCACGGACATGAGAAGAAACTGGGGGATTTACATTGGTTAAGTTTAAACAATAAACCACTGAGCCATACGCTATCAAAGGCCTTGTGGATGTCTAGGAAAACAGTGGCTGTTTTTCTTCCATAATCTTCTCATTTTAATGTTATTGGTTAATATAGTTAGGGGGTGTATTGTAGAACATTTGTTTCTAAAGCCGAATTGATATGGGGGAATCCTGTTCCCAATCTCTTGTTCAAGTTTGTTTTTGATTATTTTTTCGAAATGTTTTCCTAATACAGGTAGTAATGTTATTGGTCGGTAATAGACCTGTCTCGCATAAATAGAGAAAGAGAGCTTAATGGTAATAAATACAAGTTGGAAAGTAATAAAAGATGACATGCGCGCGCAACTCGTAGGTTCAGTGTAGCCAGATTGTATTGTTGCAGAACAAATAAAGACAATACAAATCGAACATTATAACATTAAAGAAGTGATATAGTGTCAAGTGTTTTACAACGCCTTGAATCAGACAAAAGAAGCGCTTGAAAAGTTTATGTTAACATCGTTTACACTTTTATTTTGATAAATGTTTCATCCGGCAACATCACACAATGAAATTGCAAAGGAATATGTCAAGTATAATCTGACAAAACCTTAAACGACACTGCGGTGAGTTCAAGTAATATGTAAAGTATTAGTTTGCTCTTTGTCGAATTACACGTTACAAAGAAAGAAGGAACGATTCACTCTGAACTGGCCCCTGAATAAGAATATGACGCAAACCTGTACCAAACTTGCTTCTCATTGGACGCTCACCTGCAGCCTACAAGCGACGCGCGCAGTCCAGGTAATAGGAGATCGGTCTATTGGCTGTTCCTGAGTGGTCTAGTCTAAATTAGGCTTCGGTATAGTTATTATTGTTCCTGTTTTCCATTCTGTCGGAATAAAAGCGTGTTGCAAACAAAAGGTGTACATTTTTATGATATAGCTGTGGATGTTGATGTTTAAATTTCTTAATAGTTTTCTTGTGATCATATCATGTCCGGTTGTTGTATTTTTTCCTTGGTGAAGAACATTAAATAAGAAGAAGACGAATCTTCTATTGTGTATTCCTGAGCGTTGTTTGATTTAAAATTAATGTTGATGATATTATCATACCAGTTCTCGATGTAATTGTAATGGTTCTCATCAAAGTTGGGATGCTGACTTTCTGTATACGTTTTTTCCATGTGTTGTGTGAATATAAGTGCTTTTTCTTCCGAAGATTCGTAGGAAATTCTATTTTCTATAATAGTTTTATTATTTATCCGCGTATTCTTATACTTTGCTAATTTTTCAATCTCTGACCAGTAATTTCTCGCTTGTTGCTTATCTATATCTTCACAGATAGTTATTCATTTATGTTCCTTATATTGCTGAATTAATTTTTGACTGTTCTTGTTATAATTGTTAATTTCTGTTTTTAGTTCCACATTTCCTGATAGCCTATATTCTCGGTATACTCGGCGTTTTTTTTTATTGAAGGTGATAATATAAGGTAGAAGTTACTGAGTGTAGTATTTGTTTTTTTAACAGATGTATTATCAGTTATTGCTTTAGATAATTTTTTATTGAATTTGGCTATATTTTCCTTGTTTATTTCATGTGTTTCCGTAAATTTCGTGAGGATCTTATTGACTATTTCTAAATTGGTGGCATTCAAGTTATACCTTAAAATTTCTTCTTCCACAATTGGTGTATGATTGTCAAATGTCTATTTTAAAGCCCAAATGATCTGCTCCAAGGTCAGTGACATTTTTCACGTTTTCGATGTTGCTTTTTTATATTACTGCTGTATAGTATGATGTCAGGGGTTGAGTCAACGTTGTTTGGCATGAGAAAAGTAGGTGGTGTGTCATACGTTTGGAAGTTGGTGTCTGTCTGAGAGTTGTTTCCTTTTTGGTTTTATTGGTGCATTGAAGTCTCCAACAATGAGTGAGTATTTATAAAGGGTAGACATGGTAAATATATTTTCTTCGTAAACATTCATTTAGAGGGTTGTTTACTCTTGGCGGGTTAGCCTTGTGGAGTTTAATACAGGGATGTAACTTTACCAAACTCCCTTCTCTGGCATGATTATGAATTTGAGTTCCATTGTGCTGTATAGTGTTCCAATTATGGTATGTGATGGTATTTTGATCCTCTTGTGTTTTGATTTCTACCGAGGTTTCTACAAACATTGCCAGCTTTATATCATTGCAGTCTATAAAATGGTTAATGGCTGTTTTCTTGTGGTTGTATCCATTTATGTTTGAATAAATTACACAAATTTGAGACATTATGGTGGGAATTATTTGCTGTGGGCTCTGTAGGTGGTCTATTTTTTTTAAGGTTCAAACATTAGTATGTAAATTCTGTTTCTAGTAAACACAGCTACAGTATCCACATTGTGTCTATCAACAACTCTTGTCTGTTTGTATTTTCGGGATTATTAATTTCGTTCAAGTATGTATCTATAATATTGTCATATAGTGTTATGGGTTGATGAATTCCTGATTTTTTGTTTTCAGTAGTAACTTTATGTGTTTTTTTGTTGATTGATTTAATTGGTGAGGAATGAATGAGATGGTATTCCTGTAATTTTTAAACAAAATTGTAAATTTGTTCTGTTCGAAATACTATGTAAAATTTTCAATATCTCTTTAAGCAGTGGAGTGTTTCCCGCTTGTTGAAAAAAGTCTTATGTTACACCTATTTTTAAAGATGGTGATAGGGGCAATATAAAGAACTATCGGCCAATTTCTAAAATATGCAACTATTCAAAAATTTTTGAAGCTATAGTCTCTGATTATGTTACCCCTCATTTTAAAAATATTATAATAAACGAGGAACGTGGCTTTGTAAAGAAAAGGTCAACAGTTTCAAACCTACTGAGCTATGAGCAATCCCTGTTGGGAGCTTCTGGAAACAGGTATCAGGTTGATGCAATTTATACTGATTTCTCAAAGGCTTTCGACAGGGTTGATCATGGTATTATGGTTAAGAAGCTTGGAGCTATTGGGATCTTTGGAGACCTTCTCAATTGGTTTGAAAGTAACTTAACAGGTTGAAAGCAAGCTGTAAAAGTTGAACATTATTATTTCATCAGAAGTGGGTGTGACATCGGGTGTTCCACAGGAAAGTCACCTTTCTACATTCCTCTTTAATGTTTTTATCAATGATCTGAAGGACGTTTTTTGTTTTTATCAGTTTCTCGCATTTGCAGATAATTTTAAGCTTTTTAGGGCCAAATTATGGACCAACTGGTAAGTGTCTGGTTGTTACCTAGCAGGTACTTCCTATTCTCTAGTGCATAGAAAGTACCTGCTAGGTAACAACCAGACATTTACCAGTCAGTCCAAAATTTGGCCCTTAAAGTTATAAAGTCACCTCTAGATTGTCAATTGCTGCAGGAGGACGTTAACCTGGTTTTCTTCATGGTGCAAAAATAATAATTTAACACTTAATCTTGATAAATATAATATTATAACCATTAGTAAATCGAAAAATCCACTTCTTTTCGGCTATTGCTTGAACTCTGAGAGGTTAGAGAGGTGGAATCTAGTAAGAGCTTGGAGTCTGGCTAGACTCTGAGCTGCTTACTTTCACACACCATATTGATGTTACTACTTGCAGGGCTATACACCTTCTTGGTTTCGTTTTTAGAACTTTAAGAGGTTTTGAAAATATTTTCACCTTCAAAGAGTTATACTGTGCGCTTGTCCGTTCAATTCTTGAGTACGCAAGTTATGTATTTACTCACACAAATATTA